TATCTGTCTTCTACAAATGGCTTGTGTTATTAATCTTACTTATACGTTTATTCTTCCTGTACCCTGGGGTAAACCTGTGTCTCTTAAATTATATTTTTGTCTTTTAAATTTGAGTACAGGTTGCTACCAAAAGAAATGTGTTCTTATTATGCCCAGAACAAATACCTAACAGACTTGATAGAACCATCAAATGCAGAAACCATAAGCCTCTGTGCAACATGATCTCTTCAAAATGACCTGTTTTGCAATCTATAAGTTGTAAACTTCACAGTAATGGGTCATTCTACTGCATTTGTTATTTGGATTTTTAACTTAAATAATTCTAAAATAGAATAAATTTATTTATATATTTGTTATTGTGCTGCTGACTTGTGAAAATCCTTTATGTTTTAGAGTCCCCAAAGTAATCTTTTTGTGCACAAATTTTCACTCTATGTGAACCAAACTGTTCAGGATAATCTAAATTTAATGCATTTACTATCAACAGATGTTTCAACTTTGAAATGAAATTTTAACTGACTTCTTAACTAAGATATTAGTAAAGTTTTGATACAAACAGATCCCATTATATAATATTATATTCCTTCATAGAATATATAATTAGGGTGATGAAAAGATATTTTGTTATAAATGACTTATAATCCAAGAGCTCATATTTATTTTAACATTTTCTGTATCTGGAAAACTGGGTGGGGATAAAGGGAAAAAGGCAAAAAAAATTAGGATGATGTATGCTACTTTGCTTATAATTGTAGTTAACCTAAAATCTACTTTAGAGCTACATTTTGTTGTCATTTGTAGACAGTCTAAGTTATTGTCCTGAAGTTTCACCAGGATTAATGTAAAATATGTTTTAACTTTCTTTTCATATTAGGATAGGTTTAATCACTTTTTTCTCTAGCAAATCAAAGGCCTGTTATGAACTGACCTTGAAAAATTCACAAAATTCCATTGTAAAATTCTATTATCTGGCAGAGCAACAAAATATAATATTATAGAAATTAGATATAGGTTCATAATATGGCAGCTTACTTTGTCAAGAAAAGGCTAAGGTAAAAAGTGGAAAAATAGATTGTTCTTCTGAGCATTATACTAAGTCTAGCAGCGAGGGTACTATACAAATTTTCATGCCTTTATATTTGGCCTAGAGTAGCACTGGCACTTTAAAGTTTAGTTTTTGGCAAAATTATTGGATAATAAATCTGCTTAATTTTTGTAGGGGAGGTTTCTGTTTGCAAGCATACTGAATCACAATACATGTTATATGGCTAAGAAAATAATGTTGAAGTAAATGTTAGAAATATATTTTAGATGGTTTTAAAATTTCTAAATGTAATCTAAATATTATTAATAAATTCATTGAATTCCACTTTTGGATTCAAGGTTTATATATACTCTTAACTGAAAATGGAAGATATCAGTTATGTTTGTTCACAGAGTAAAATATTTAAAGTGAAGAAAAAATTGCCTATTGAATACGTTTCAGTAGGCCAGTTCAAAATGTTACCTTAATTTTACTTTGTGTCATTTGAAGAATTAATCATTTAGCAAATTTATAAATACTCAAATGTTTATATGCCATAACATCTATACCAAATGTATCTGTTACAGTCATATCACAACTGTAGTCAGAAGTAAGAACAATACTTAGACTATGGAGACCAATGGGAAAGGAAAGTCGGACTGATACAGGCTGAGAGTCAAAGAGGAAGATAAAATCATTAAAAACTTTCTCTAGGTGTCCAGGGGAGAATTGGATAGGTCCATGAAGAAACAGGTGAATAAGTTATTTCCCCTGCCCTCTAGACAAGGACTATACTTGAGTGAGAGAGATCAACTTTAAACAAGCAGTTGCTACACAGTACAACAAATGCTATAGTAAGTTGTATGGAAGCTCAAAAGCAGGAAGTACAAAATGTCTGAAGGAGTTGTGGGAAGGATTTAAAAAAAAAATCTAGACAAGGACTATACTTGAGTGAGAGAGATCAACTTTAAACAAGCAGTTGCTACACAGTACAACAAATGCTATAGTAAGTTGTATGGAAGCTCAAAAGCAGGAAGTACAAAATGTCTGAAGGAGTTGTGGGAAGGATTTAAAAAAAAAACAGGCTTTATACAGACTTTTTGTGAAGAAGGAGGAACTAGGCATTCTAGACAATCGATATGGCATATACAGAGGTACAGTACTGTGACTAAACAAGACCTGGGAGTGGGGTACAAAAGAGGATGTTAGCCATTCTAACCTCATGTACATGCCCATCTTGGCTTTGGTGTTGCTTCATTCACCGTTAATCATCCAAGCAGGAACTTCAAAGGGGCTATGCTGTCTTCTCCACACAGGTGTGTCATACAGTGTGGCTGGAACATGGGAAATCCACTGTGAATTGTGAGATATGAGACTAGAACTTGTGTGGAGCTAGATCGTGACAGGTTTATATGCCGTTCTAAATATTAGTTGGTGGTTGAGGGGACCTTGGAAGCTCTCACTCTTTGAGAGTCAACTTGTACCAAAATCACAGAATGTATGTTAGTTCTATACAATTCATACTGAATTGAGAGACTCCACATTTTAATTAAAAAGGCCTAACAGTAAACAGTAATAAATATTTGTCTTTAACTGATAAAGGTCACACCAATTTCTATATTTGTTTGGAAATCTCCATTTAATCATAAATAATATTGATGTGACTTTTACATTATATTCCATATTATGCTTTTCTAATTGGAAAAAAGTATCACCAGCTGAAATTCATATAGTCCAAGAATATAATCTATCTTATGGCATTCAGTGCTCTAGCTTGTTGCCCATGTATCTGTGGAGTGTGTATGTACCTCTAGGATTGCTACCAGTGGGAAGTTGGCACAGTGAAGAGAACATCAGTGTCACATGGGTTTTCTTTCTTTTTAAAAAGTAATAGGAACCATTTTCAACACTTTAGTAACTAGTAGTCTCAATTATTATATTTGTAACTGTTGTTATAAATATAATCATTAAGAGATCTGGGTTAGCTCTATGTAAAGCCATGTCACTTAATGATGACAATATATTCTGAGAAGTGTGTCATCATTAATCAATTTCATTATTGTGCAGACATCATAGAGTGACATACCCAAAGCTTAGATGGTATAGACTGCTACACATCTAGGCTATATGGCATAGATACTACAGTATGTTCAATTCTTGATTGACTAAAACATGACATGGCACATGAGTATAGCAGAAAATTTTACAGTAGCTTCTTTGAAATTAGTAAGAGGTATTAAATATGCTTTTTTCTGTTAGTGATCCTAATTCATTGCTCTGGTGAGGAACCAAAAACTTAAATCTTCCCTTCTTTGGAAAGTTCTTAGAGCAACGGTTCATGTGTTTAAGAATCAAAATTTCAATTCTAGGGGATAAAATTATTCTACCAGTGACTCTGCTGCCCTTTTGTAAGGGCTAGTAGTAGTAGCACTTCCGGATACTGCCTAATAATTTGATTTGAAAATCTGTACCTGCATTGTGGGACTATTACACATTAATTGTGTATATCTATCTTTTGTTGTTAGACCATCAGAAACTGCTTTTTGGTTTATAACTGATAAAATTAATTATAGAACTTTTCTGATGTCAACATAAGCTTCCTTATCATTTGTCCTCCCACAATGTCTGCATGAATCAGTAACCCAGAAATTCAGAGGCAATATAAAAATGAACAGTAACTTGTGCATATCATATAAAAAGGCCCTGATGATCTGGTCTCTGGCTAGCATAATATTCAGCAACTGTTCAACTTGCAGCCTACACTCCAGTCTTGAAACTGCTAGCAATTTTTCTACTCTCTGGTCCCATGTTCTTCCCACTCCTCTTTTTCTCCCTGTTGGCAATTCCCTTCAGCAGCAGTCAGGGTGCTCACTTACCAGTGATAATTGAAATGGAGATGATTAGAATATGGGCATAAATAGTAATAGAGTACAGAAAGCAGTGAGTGCTTTGTTAAAATCAGAGTTAAGAGCTATGAGACATAATAAAAATTGGTAGTGTTTAATTAGGATTTAAATATGCAGATCGGAAAAATGAACTTTTTGATTGGAGTGAACCAATATAAGCAACTAAGGAAATAAATATTCCATCAGGAATAGCAAATTCTAAACCTACACAGAAAAAAAAATGTGAGAAGTAAGATTAGAAAAGAAGAGTCTGGAATTCAAAAGTAAAGACTTAGACCTTATTTTGATAGAAAATTAAAAGACTTTTAATCAAGGAAGAGATAGAATCAGCCTTACAAAAGTAAACCAATTAGCAATGTGTGGCACATGTACAGTAGTAGGTTAGAATTGACTTATGATTCTACTGTTGTCTCTCCTCTAAATAAATGAGAGCTATATTTGAGATATGATGATAAAGTAATGATAATGATATTATAATAGAAAATCTCTTCACTTCCTCCAACAAAAAGTCAATCCCTACAACAGACAAGTCAGTTATTTCCATATTATTGCCATTACCAAAACATTTTTAATGCTTTTGAAATTGCCTTCAGAATTGATTTTACATTCTCTTTAAGTGTTGTTTATGGTGTGAATAATATTTTCCTTTCATCACAGGTGCTATGTTAAGACTAGCTAATTCACTTTGAAAGAACTGCTTTTGCAAATTCAAACATGTTACTTCCACTTTCCTGCTGTAAATCCTTTGCTTCCTCGAGCCACACTAAAATTTGTGCTGATAACTTTATTTAGTAAGATATGTAGTTGCCCATGTGCATTTTAAATACCTGCTTTTATTAATAAGTATTTTATTCTTATAACTTGGCAAATGATTAAACAAATTTTGAATAACAAAATAGTCTAGGTTGAATCTAATATTGATATTAAATATATACAGTCAAGATTATTTTGAAAATCAGAGAGTAAGTTTAACGAAAAGCAAAATAATACATTGTTGCTATATAATTCTAAGTTTATCCCAACATATACAATGATTAAGAAGAATATGTGTACATTATTTTCTTTTTAAGGAAAAAGAACGGTTGAAGCAAGAAAAACGTGATGAGAAAAGATTAAATAAAGAGCGTAAACTAGAGCAACGAAGATTAGAATTAGAAATGGCAAAGGAACTAAAGAAGCCTAATGAAGACATGTGCTTAGCAGACCAAAAGGTAATTTATATGTCATGCACACCATTTTATTAATTAATTTTTCCAGTTTTCTTACCTGATTTATTTGCCAGAGCTGCTATTGCGAAAGCCTTTCATTTTTAACTATAGCAGTGAATTTCCAACTCTAGGTCAATTTGCCTTTCCTAGATAGCTACCAGTAAACCTCTCTGGATCTCTTATGCTGGTAATGGCAGTTTTATTGTTTGTTTGGTTGGTTGGTTGATAGGTTGTTTTCAGACAGGGTCTTACTCTGTCATTTAGGCTGGAATGGAGCAGTAGCAGGATTATAGCTCACTGAAGCCTCAACTTCTCATTCCCAGGCTCAAGTGATCCTCTCACCTCAGTCTTCTGAGTAGCTGGAACCACAGGTGCTTGCCATCATGCCTGGCTAGTTTTTTGGTTTTGTTATTTTAATTTTTTGTAGAGACAGGGTCTTCTGTTGCCCAGGGTGGTCTCCAACTCCTGGGCTCAAGTGATCCAACTGCCTCAGTCTCTCAAAGTGCTGGGACTCCAGGCATGGACAAATCTTAACTCCTCCCCACATGCCTACAAATATTTAAATAAATTAGGATTTATAATCTATGACCTACTTCAGTGCTTTCTTTCTTTCTTTTTTTTTTTTGAGAGCCTCACTCTTGCCCAGGCTGGAGTGCAGTGGCACGATCTCAGCTCACTACAACCTCTGCCTCCTGGGTTCAAGCAATTCTCTTTTATCAGCCTCCCAAATAGCTGGGACCACAGGCACCCACCACCATGCCCAGCTGACTTTCGTCTATTTAGTAGAAACAGGGTTTCACCATATTGGTCAGGCTGGTCTCGAACTGCTGACCTCAGGTTATCCACCCATCACAGCCTCCCAAAGTGCTGGGATTACAGGTGTGAGCCACTGCATCCAGCCTGACCTACCTCAGTGCTTTCGGTGGCCAACCTTTGAATATGTTTACTACATGCTGGGACTATGCTAAGCACTTATTTGAATTTTGTCATTTAATCCTCAATACAATCCTTTGGTGTTGGTATTTTTTCCCATTTACACATGAGAAAACTGAGACACAAACATGTTAAGGAACTTGCCCAAGATTATACAACTAATAAATGACAATTTGGATTCAAACTCCAGTTTGTTAAACTCCAGGCGTATACTGTTTATCATCCTGAAAGCCAAGAAACTGTGTCCAACCAAAGCACCTCCTACGTGTTTTGTTTTCCATAGTGCTTCACAGACATGTAATGTTGCTGAAATATAAAAGTATAAATTTAGAAAGCTTGCTATAATCTTGGCATCCAGCATAATTTCATAAACTTTTGAGTAGAAATCAATTATGTTTTGACTGTAGTTAAGAAGATGGTACTTCCAGAAAAATATCAATAATGCATTTCATCTCTATATTATTATACTTCATTAGTAGGCTATGTATTTACTTATATGCAATATTCAAATGATATGCAAGTAATTATTGTCTCTTGATTTATGTAAGCTCTTTTCTAAAGTGCTTAAAGCCAACTTTTAATATCCGAGAATGGATTGAACTATATTAACATTCTATTTACTTAGCATAAATGCTTCTAAATAAAAATGAGAGTATACATACTTAGTAGTTTTTAGTCATTTGGATGTTTAAATTTTCCTAAGCAGAGAATGGGTATATAAATTAGTTAACACATTTAATAAGCTCATAGTGATCAAGCTTTCTAAATCCTAAGTGAGCTTCATTTTTTGGTATCTTTTATATTCATTTAAATTCATATGTACTATATCAAGTATGTAAGTCCATTTTGAGCCACATTTTTATTAACTTAGCTTTGTTATGTAAATTTTTAGAATTACATAGAAATGTGTATGTTTCATGTAGTTCAAGAAAAAGAGAGAGTGAGGATTACTGGTTTTCAAATAGAATATACAATATTTGTATGAGATGAGCTATTATCTGTAGTTTTGTATTTCCACACAGTATTAGTAGAAAAAGTCTTCAATTGGTTACCTTATTCAGGTGGAGGGTGATGAGGGTGGAGAATGCAGGGTGGAGAGATATTTTTGAACAAAGGCCAATTCAAATAAATAGGAATATTTATGTCACTTTTTTTCCAGTTAAAATTTAAAGGACTTCTTTAGGCTCTCATTCACTGGCAAAAATGTTTTTAATTTAGATTACCTATTTATTGAATTTTTTAAATGTTGGTGACAACTAGTACTGGAATTTAGTCATTAAAATGTTAATATGGGAGCATATTTGAGAAATAGCAACAGAGACAGCTACCTATTTTAATACTGAAACTCATATAAACATTTGCCTAAATACAGGAAAACCTAAAGAACTTAATTACATTATAACTGAGTTTTTATGTACAGGGATAAAACGGATTCTAGTTATGCGGACCTAGTTTTTTGTCTGCATTCATTAGCCACAGATGGTACCACTTTCTGCAACCACAGAGCCTACAGATACATACTGTTAGTTTCTAAGCAAAAAAAAAAAAAGTGTGATTTTTAAATACGTCATAATTATTAGAAGAAATTGATGCACATGCCCTATAAGTATGTCCATGGTAAAGTACTTTTGAAATGTTTATATTTTATTTAATTTTTGCTCCAGTTATATAATCTGTGTCTTGTTAATATAGATATGTCAGTTGATTTAATATGCAAGTTGATTAAAAATTAGTGTCTCTTTTGCAAAGATCTAAGTTCATAATTGAATTCAACCAAAATTTATTGATGGTTGCTTACTTGTATGATGATACTTACTTCAAGACGCTATGCTTAGTTCCATGGGGGTTTCAGAAATGCCCCCAGACAATTTAGCATCCCAAAGGAAGCTACTGGTACAATACAAGAGGGAAAAAAAAGGTAACAGCTTATTTTACTTTAGAAGATATGAAATCGTGGCTTTTTAAAAATTAAGCTATTTTTACTTTATTTGTATTTTATTTTATTTTCAGCCTTTGCCAGAGTTGCCTCGTATTCCAGGACTTGTTCTCTCTGGAAGTACATTTTCAGACTGTCTCATGGTGGTGCAGTTCTTACGAAACTTTGGTAAAGTTTTGGGCTTTGATGTGAATATTGATGTTCCAAACCTGAGTGTTCTTCAAGAGGGATTGCTAAATATAGGGGACAGCATGGGTGAAGTACAAGACTTGCTTGTGAGGCTCCTCTCAGCTGCTGTATGTGATCCAGGTCTAATTACAGGATACAAGGTAAAAAAAAACAAAATATAAAATGTTTTAAATTTGTGCTGTCAGTGCATTGGTAAATAGCTTTAGCATATTAGCAGAAGATTATGTAGATAGATCTAATTTTTCCACATAATGTCACACAAAGTTAAATGTAGATTTGTGTCGGGTTATACCATGTACAAAGAAAGCCTGGTTGTAAAGCTTAAGGAATTAGGCCATTCTCGTCACTCTTTTTTCTTCTAGCTGTAGGCAAAGACCAAGGTGATTTAAGGAAATATTTAAGTGATATTCATCAACAACAGAATGCACAATTCATAAGGCCACTAGAACTTGTATGTGCCTTCTGAAATTATGCCTCGTTCTCTCTCAGTCACTGTGAATAACTGAAGCTAATCAAGGCACCTATAGACCAGAACGTTAAGACCCTGTGCTACTCAGTGGATCCTCAATAGGTCCATATTTATCTTCATTCCAAATACAGTATACATTCCAGGGAGCTTTGCTCTAGGTAATACTGTGGAGAGAGAACCTCTCAGATGCACCTATGTTTCTTCTCTCTCCCTCAGTGTTTCCCTATTTATTTTCCCTCATCAGCAAAACTTATGACGCCTTAAAGGTAGAAAACACAATACTGTTTTTGATCCTCCCCACTCTGTCATTCCTGATAAAATGTCCAGATAAAACCTGGGAAAAGGTTGATGTTGCTTTTATAGTCATGGAAGGCTTGATAGGTAATTTAAAACTTCTGCTACCATGAATTTTCATACTCTTCTCCCTGCCTGACTTGGAACCAAGGATTTGAAGAGGGAAAAGAAAGATACAAGTACTTGAATATTTGTCTGTCTTAACTATTGACTATTTTTATGTCTCTTTCATTAAAAAAAAAAACTGAATAAAGCCCTTGTTGGTAATATCTAGATCAAATAATATATATATTTTAATCTTATTGTTTTCATGTTATATATACATGGTTATGAGCAATACTGATAAAAATGCCAAACTTTTATAGGCTAAAACAGCTCTTGGAGAACATTTGCTGAATGTTGGTGTGAATCGAGACAATGTTTCCGAGATTTTACAGATATTTATGGAAGCCCACTGTGGACAAACCGAGCTTACTGAAAGTCTGAAGACCAAAGCTTTTCAGGCTCACACTCCAGCACAGAAAGCTTCGGTCCTGGCTTTCCTGATTAATGAACTGGCATGTAGCAAGAGTGTGGTCAGGTGAGCATACGCCCAGGCTTTTCCATGATTTTCTTCCATTTTGAATTTGTCTCATTACAAAATAATACAAATTAATTGTAGAAAATTGGAAAGTTACAGACCAGCAAAAAGAAGAAAATTTAAATTGTACTTATCTCAATATTTAGAGATGACCACTAATAATATTTTCATATATTTCTTTGTAGTGTATTGAAAAGAAAATTGGATCATACTGTATGTCTGTAACGTGGTCTTTGTCATCTGTTTTGTTTAATAATTTTGTTAAATCTTTATACATAATTATTTTTATATTTTTACTTGCTATGGTACCAGAATGTGGTACCACCACAAGAATACGGAATTTGTTTTCCTTCACATCGTTTAAGTATAGATGAACACCTGATTTTGCTTAGTAGCCATTCATAGAATTATGTAGCCACTTTTTATTTTGTTATATGCTAATACAATCCTATTCATTTATCAATGCATTAATTTACATTTTTTATAAAGTACTTGATCTTATTTAAAAGTCAAAATGAGTTCTTACTCTAATAATACCAATACTGGCCAGGCTTGGCTCATGTCTGTAACCCCTTTGGAAGGCTGAGGGGGTGGATCACAAGGTCAGGAGATCGAGACCATCCTTGCTAACACCGTGAAACCTCATCTCTACTTAAAAAAATACAAAAAATTAGTCAGGTATGGTGGCACATGCCTGTATTCGCAGCAGTTTGGGGGGCTGAGGCAGGAGAATTGCTTGATCTCAGGAGGCAGAGGTTGCAGTTAGCTGAGATCACACCACTGCACTTCAGCCTCAGCGACAGAGTGAGACTCGGTCTCAAAAATAGTAATAATAATAAAATACCAACACTAACACACACTCTAGTATTCAAAATTTGGGAACAAATTCATGTTCTACTTGTCCTTGTTATTCATTGTTTTACAGACTTTTAACAACTTTTAGTCCTTCACCTTTCTAGAAAAAGGATCAATCTAGATTCAGAGTCATGCATTTCTACCAGTGTGGACATTTTAAGTTTTCTGTAGTTAGCTATAATATTGTATAAATGTAATTTTTCATTTGTTTCTGCTCTTCATTGACAGTCATCCCAAAAAGTATAATAATATACACATTTTACAATTTTATGAAAGAATAATTTTATTAAACATGAGCATCATAACAAATAGTAATGCCATATGGCACTTATTCAGAACACTTACAGACAAATTCAGTGTAAATGGTACACTACAGTTTTTACCTTAGAAGGAAAAAAGTACCCTATTTGACTTTACCAGATATTATAATATTCTTAGTTTCTGTTTGGTTGTTCATATATGTACACTTAGACAGTGTATATGCATATGTATATATGTACACTTATATAAATATACATGTGTGTTCTGGTATCCTGCTTTTATTTTATAAATTATCACATCTTAAATGCATGCAACAAAACTTGGAATGCTGTGTTTCTTTTTTTTTTTTTAATTGTACTTTAGGTTCTGGGGTACATGTGCAGATTATGCAGGATTGTTGCATAGGTACACACATGGCAATGTGGGTTGCTGTCTCCATCCTCCATTGCCTACATCTGGCATTTCTCCCCATTTATCCCTCCCTGACCTCCCCACCCCCTTGCTTTCCCTCCCTTGGCCTCCCCAACAGACCCCAGTGTGTGATACTCCCCTCCCTGTGTCCATGTGTTCTCCCTGTTCAACACCTGCCTATGAGTGAGAATATGCAGTATTTGATTTTCTGTTCTTCTGTCAGTTTGCTGAGAATGATGGTTTTCATATTTATCCATGTCTTTACAAAGGACACAAACTCATCATTTTTTATGGCTGCATAGTATAATATGGTATATATGTGCCACATTTTCCTTGTCCAGTCTATCATCGATAGGCATTTGAGTTGGTTCCAGGTCTTTGCTATTGTAAACAGTGCCACTATGAACATACATGTGCATGTATCTTTATAATAGAATGATTTATAATCCTTTGGGTATATACCCAGTAATGAGATTGCTGGGTCAAATGGAATTTCTATTTCTAGGTCTCTGAGGAAGTGCCACATTGTCTTCCACAATGGTTGAACTAGTTTAAACTCCCATGAGTAGTGTAAAAGTGTTCCTATTTCTCCACATCCTCTCCAGCATCTGTTGTCTCCAGATTTTTTAATGATCACCATTCTAACTGGCGTGAGGTGGATCTCAATATGGTTTTGATTTGCATTTCTCTAATAATCAGTGATGATGAGCATTTTTTCATATGTTTGTTGGCCTCATATATGTCTTATTTTGAAAAGTGACTGTTCATATCCTTTGCCCACTTTTGGATGGGTTTGGTTGGTTGTTTCTTGTAAATCTGTTTTAGTTCTTTGTAGATTCTGGATATTAGCCCTTTATCAGATGGGAAGATTGCAAAAATTTTTTCCCATTCTGTTGATTGTGGTTCACTCTAATGATTGTTTATTTTGCTATACAAAAGCTCTGGAGTTTAATTAGGTCCCATTTGTCTATTTTGGCTTTTGTTGCTAATGCTTTTGGTGTTTTAGTCATGAAGTCCTTGCCTATGCCTATGTCCTGAATGGTTTTGCCTAGGTTTTCTTCCAGGGATTTTATGGTGTTAGGTCTTACGTTTAAGTCTTTAATCCATCTGGAGTTACTTTAAGTGTAAGGTGTCGGGAAGGGGTCCAGTTTCTGCTTTCTACACATGGCTAGCCAGTTTTCCCAGCACCACTGGGGAATCCTTTCCCCATTGCTTATTTTTGTCAGGCTTGTCAAATATCAGATGGTTGTAGATGTGTGGTGTTGCCTCCAGGCCTCTGTTCTGTTCTGTTGGTCTATATCTCTTTTGGTACCAGTACCATGCTATTTTGATTACTTGTAGTACAGCTTGAAATCAGGTCACATGATGCCTCCAGCTTTGTTCTTTTTGCTTAGGGTTGTCTTGGCTATGCAGGCTTTCTTTTGGTTTCATATGAAGTTTAAGGTGTTTTTTTCCAGTTCTGTGAAAAAGGTCATTGGTAGCTTGATGGGGATAGCGCTGAATCTATAAATTACTTTGGGTAGTATGACCATTTTCACAATACTGATTCTTCCTAATCGTAAGCATGGAATGTTTCTCCATCTGTTTATCTCCTCTCTTATTTCCTTGAGCAGTGGTTTGTAGTTCTCCTTGAAGAGGTCCTTTCCATCCTTTGTTTGTTGTATTTCTAGGTATTTTATTCTCCTTGTAGCGATTGTGAATGGGAGTTTGCTCATGATTTGGCTCTCTGTTAGTCTGTTGTTGGTGTATAGATATGCTTGTGATTTCTGCACATTGATTTTGTATCCTGAGACTTTGCTGAAGTTGCTTATCAGTTTCAGGGGATTTTGGACTGAGATGATAGGGTCCTCTAATCGGCAAATAGAGACAATTTGGCTTCCTCTTTTCTTAATTGAATACCTTTTTTTTTTCTTGCCTAATTGCTCTGGCTAGAACTTCCAATACTATATTGAATAGGAGTGGTGAGAGAGGGCATCCTTGTCTAGTGCAAGATTTCAAAGCAAATGCTTCCAGTTTTTGCCCATTCAGTATGATTTTAGCTATAGGTTTGTTGTAAATAGCTTTTATTGTTTTGAGATATGTTCCTTCGATACCTAGTTTATTGAGAATTTTTAGCACAAAGCGCTGTTGAATTTTGTCGAAGGCCTCTCTGTATCTGTTGACATAATCATGTGGTTTTTGTCTTTGGTTCTGTTTATGTGGTGGATTACATTTATAGACTTGCATATTTTGAACCAGCCTTGCATCCCCAGGATGAAGCCTACTTGATCATGATGGATAAGCTTTTTGATGTGCTGTTGCAATTGGTTTGCCAGTATTTTATTGAAGATTTTTGCATCTATGTTCATTATGGATATTATTGGCCTGACGTTTACTTTTTTTATTGAGTCTCTGCCAGGTTTTGGTATCAGGATGATGTTGGTCTCATAAAATGATTTGGGAAGTGTATTGTCTGGAATAATTTCAGAAGGAATGGTACCAGCTCCTTTTTGTAGGTCTGGTAGAATTTGGCTGTGAACCCATCTGGACCTGGACTTTTTTTGGTTGGTAGGCTATTCATTGCTGCCTCAACTTTAGCGTTTGTTATTGGTCTATTCAAGGTTTCAACTTCCTCCTGGTGTAGGCTTGGCAGGGTGCAAGTGTTCAGGAATTTATCCATTTCTTCCAGGTTTACTGGTTTATGTGCATAGAGTTGTTTGTAGTAATCTCTGATGATGGTTTGTATTTCTGTGGAATCAGTGGTGATATCCCCTTTATCGTTTTTTCTTGCATCTATTTGATTCTTCTCCCTTTTCTTTTGATTAATCTGGCCAGCAGTCTGTCTATTTTGTTGATCTTTTCAAACAAACAGCTCCTGAATTTACTGATTTTTTAAGGATTTTTTGTGTCTCTATCTCCTTCAGTTCTGCTCTGCTGTTAGTTATTTCTTGTCTTCTGCTAGGTTTTGAGTTTTCTTGATCTTGCTTCTCGAGCTCTTTCAATTTTGACGATAGGGTGTCAATTTTGGATCTCTCCACTCTTCTCATGTGGGCACTTATTGCTATATCTTTTCTTCTGGAGACTGCTTTAAATGTGTCCCAGAGATTCTGGTATGTTGTGTCTTTGTTCTCGTTGATTTCGAAGAACTTCTTTATTTCTGCCTTCATTTCATTGTTTATCCAGTCAACATTCAAGAGCCAGTTCAGTTTCCACGAAGCTGTGCAGTTCTGAGTTAGTTTCTCAATTCTGAGTTCTAATTTGATTGCCCTGTAGTCAGAGAGACTGTTTGTTAAGATTTTCATTCTTTTGCATTTACTGAGGAGTGATTTACTTCCAATTATGTGGTCATTTTTAGAGCAGGTGTGATGTGGTGCTGAGAAGAATGTTTATTTTGTGGATTTGGGGTAGAGATTTCTGTAGATGTCTATTAGGTCTGCTTGGTCCAGATCTGAGTTCAAGTCCTGGATATCCTTGTTAATTTTCTGTCTCATTGATCTAATATTGACAGTGGAGTGTGAAAGTATCCCACTATTATTGTGTGGGAGTCTAATTCTCTTTGTGGGTATTAAGAACTTGCTTTATGTACCTGGGTGCTTCTGTATTGGGTGTGTATATATTTAGGATCGTTAGCTCATCTTGATGCATTGATCCTTTTACCATTATGTAATGCCCTTCTTTGTGTCTTTTGATCTTTGTTGGTTTAAAGTCCATTTCATCAGAGACTAGGATTGCAACTCTTGCTTTTTTTTTTTGCTCTCCATTTGCTTAATAAATCTTCCACCCTCCCTTTATTTTGAGCCTTTTGAGCCTATGTGTGTCTTGCACATGAGATGGGTTTCCTGAATACAGCACACCGGTGGGTCTCGACATTTTATCCAACTTGCCAGTCTGTGTCTTTTGAATGGGGCATTTAGTCCATTTACAGTTAAGGTTAATATTATTATGTGTGAATTTGATTCTGCCATTTTGATGCTAGCTGGATGTTTTGCCCGTTAGTTGACGCATTTTTTTTTTTTATTGTGTCAATGGTCTTTACCATTTGTTATGTTTTTGGAGTGGCTGATACTGGTTGTTCCTTTCCTTGTTCAGTGTTTCTTTCAGGAGCTCTTGTAAGGCAGGCCTCGTGGTGGCAAAATCTCTCAGCAACTTTTTGTCCATAAAGGATTTTCTTTCTCCTTCACTTATGAAGCTTAGTTTGGCTGAATACGAAATTCTGGGTTGAAAGTTCTTTTCTTTAAGGATGTTGAATATTGGCCCCCACTCTTTTCTGACTTGCAGGGTTTCTGCAGAGAGATCCCCTGTGAGTCTGATGGGCTTTCCTTTGTGGGTAACTGGACCTTTCTCTCTGGCTGCCCTTAGCACTTTTTCCTTCATTTCAACCCTGGTGAATCTGACAATTATGTCCGTTGGGGTTGCTCTTCTTGAGGAATATCTTTGTGGTGTTCTCTGTATTTCCTAGACTTGAATGGTGGCCTGGCTTGCTAGGTTGGGGAAGTTCTCCTGGATGATATCCTGAAGAGTCTTTTCCAGCTTGGATCCATTCTGTCCATCACTTTCAGGTACACCTATCAAACGTAGATTAGATCTTTTCACATAATCCCATATTTCTTGGAGGCTTTGTTCATTTCTTTTCACTCTTTTCTCTCTATTCTTGCCTTCTTGTTTTATTTCACTGAGTTGATCTTCAATCTCTGATATCCTTTCTTCTGCTTGGTTGATTCAGCTATTGAAACTTGTGTGTGCTTCATGAAGTTCTCATGCTGTGTTTTTCAGCTCCATCAAGTCATTTGTATTCTTCTCTAAGCTGTTTATTCTAGTGAGCATCTCATCTAACCTTTTTTCTAAGTTCTTAGTTTCTTTGCATTGGCTTAGCACATGTTCTTTTAGCTCTGAGAAGTTTGTTATTACCCACCTTCTGAAGCCTGTTTCTGTCAATTCATCAGATTCATTCTCCATCCATTTTTGATCCCTAGGTGGTGAGGAGTTGTGATCCTTTGGAGGAAGAGAGGCGTTCTGGTTTTTGGTGTTTTCCTCCTTTTTGTGCTGGTTTCTTCCCATCTTAGTGGCTTTATGTACCTGTGGTCTTTGTAGTTGGTGACTTTCAGATGGAGTCTTTGAGTGGACGGCCTTTTTGTTGATGATGAAATTATTTCTTTCTGTTCCTTAGTTTTCCGTCCAACAGTCAGGCCCCTCTGCTGTAGGACTGCTGGAGGTCCTGTCCAGACCCTGCTTGCCTGGGGATCACCTGCAGGGGCTGCAGAACAGTAAGGGTTACTGCCAGTTTCTTCTTCTGTTATCTTCGTCCCAGAAGGGTACGTGCCAGATGTCGGCCTGAGGTGTCTCTTTGGGTATACGGGAGTCGGAGAGCTGCTTGAGGAGACAGTCTGTCCCTTATAGGAGCTCAAGTGCTGTTCTGGGAGCTCTGTTTTTTCATGCAGAGCCACTGGACATGTACTTTTAAGACTGCTACAGCAGAACTCATAACCACCTCTTTTCCTAGATGCTCTGTCCTAGGAAGGTTAGCTTTATTTATAAGTTCCTGTCATGCTGCTGCCTTTTATCATAGATGCCCTGCCCCACACACGTAGCAGTGTAGTCACAGTCTGCCAGCAGGGGTGTTGCTGAGGTGCTGCAGGCTCTGCCCAGCTGCTATGTGAACTGCCTTGGTAGTGGTGAACTGGACTGTCCTGGGTACAGCTGCGCTTGCAGTGAAACTCTCAATCTAGAGCGTTTCAGATTGCTTGTTTTGTGGGGGTGGTACCCACCGAGGCAGATTGCCTGGCTCCCTATCTCTGCCCCCTCGCTTTCAGTTCAGTGGACAACTCTGTCTCCCAGGTGTTCCAGGCACCAGTTGAAATGGCCACCCAGATTTGTGTGAGTTTCTGTGTGCCAACCTGGCACTGGCTGAAACCGCTGTGCTGAAAACTCATGGCGCTTTTTGGCCTGGGGATCTCCTCATCTGTGGGCATGGAAAATTTGTTTGGAAATGCGGTGGGCACTCACCCTCTGCATTGTTCTAGCTGGAAACTGCACTCCTGAGCTATTCCTATTTGGCCAGGAACTGCACTCCTGAGCTGTACCTATTTGGCCACCTTGGATCCTCCCCCAAAATGCTGTCTTTCTAAGGCAAGGGTGTGTAATTTCTTTCTTGGTTTAAGATAGAAACCACAGTGATTTTTCTAATACTAATGTTGTATCCATTGGAGAAGTTATTACTTTTCAACATGTATGTGTATACATACATAAACACATGTATATATGAATGTATATATGCACGAAGTCAATTTTATCATTTTTTACTTACTCAAAAATACATTAATTTACATATAAAATACATTTTTCCATATCAAATTAAAGCATTGCATAAACTGATTAATTTGCATCTTTTAATAAATTCTTGCATTGGCAGTGAAATCGACAAGAACATTGATTATATGTCAAACTTGAGGAGAGATAAATGGGTGGTAGAAGGTAAACTCCGCAAGTAAGTCCTGTTATATTAAAGTTAATATACTGTTTTCTTTTTATACAAATTCCCAGTAAAGCATATGAATTGCAAAGATAGAATTTAAACTTTTATTGTTTAAAGAAAAGATAATGCTTAATTTAGATGGGATATGAAATTAATAAAACTTAGGGGCAGAATTTACAACGGATAAAAGATGTAATGAGATTCATTGAGCTTACATTCTTCATACTTAAAGGAAAGTCATTTTCTGTTTTTTCTTTTAAACAAGTCAAGCAATCACATTTTCTAAGATTGTGGTTGCTATTAAGTTGCTTTTATCACAAATAGAATGTTTGGAACTGCCACTTTTTTTCTTAATTGCTTTCTAATTAAAATTTGCTTTTGCGGAATCTAAACTTATTCAACATTAAAACTTAATTATCTTCCTGCCAGAAAATATCTTGCAGAAATTACTCCTATGTTAAGAGGTTAGTTTCTTTGTAGTAATTTGAATTGAAATTTATTCAGTCAGTTAGTATGGGATCAGAAATTATTACTCAGCTGTTGTTAGAATTCTTCTTTTCAGCTTGCATAGTTTTTTTTTAAATGAGTCTAATTCCAAAGAGATATCCAGAATAACTCTTGAAAGTTAATGCATTTTGTTATTAATGGAAACATTTCTTAGGTTTCCATAATCCTAACTTTTTTTAACATTGGTGTATTGCTTAACACAAAATAAATGCTATAAGGTATTTTTGCATACAACTCACATTTTGCTCTTTTAAAACTATATTGAGAAGTTGTTTATTCCATGTCATCACTTTTTGTAATATTTAAAGGCTCAGAATCATTCATGCTAAGAAAACAGGCAAAAAAGACACTTCAAGTGGCATTGATCTTGGAGAAGAGCAGCATTCCTTAGGCACACCCACTCCAGGACGCAAACGAAGAAGGAAGGGAGGAGACAGTGATTATGATGATGATGATGACGATGACAGTGATGACCAAGGTGATGAAGATGATGAGGATGAAGAAGATAAAGAAGACAAAAAAGGAAAAAAGCCTGATATCTGTGAAGATGAGGTAATCACATTTAGGTTAATTTTAAGACAACTAGAACTGCATAACGTATTTGAGAAAAACAGAATTTAGAGTCAGATGGATTTGGATTTGAATTCAGTTTTGACATTTACTTGCCTCAGTTTCTTCATCTTAAAAATAAATATTACAATATACGTCCCATAATGATTTTTGTGATTGTTATGTAAATATCTAATAGAATGTCTGTACGTAAAGGGTACTGAGACTGAATAAAATAAGTTTTTTAAATATAATTACTTGAGAATTCTCTAAAGAGATATGCAGATTTTTAATTTCAGGTATTCTGTTTCATTCTATTAACATACTGTGTTACATTTGTATAGCGCTTCATGCCTTTAGAAGTGTCAGGTTTAGTGAAAATAATGTATTCCTCAAACACCAATTATTATTTCTCTAGTTCTAGGCACTATTAATCAAAGATAAATAAGGCACTGAAAGTCCTATCTCAATGTACAGTCTCACCAAGGAGGATTTGCAAAAAGAAAACATAATGTTTTAACTGCTTTGAGAGGGGTATTTACAATGTGCTAGGCAGATACAACTTAAGATCATTTAGACTTTCTCAGGAATAAACTTCCACAAAGAGTTTCTGGACCCATTAGCTGAGGCTATAAGCTGAGCCAAACATTAACCTGGGTAAATGTCTGGGGAAGAGTGTTCCAGGCAGAGAGAAATGCATAAGCAAGGGCACAGAAACTGGAAAACACAATGTGCTTTAAGGGGTTTGCAAGTACATCAGTGTTACTGGAGTCTCACATGCAACAATGATGAACTGGGATCTTTTGCTTTTTTTTTTTTTTTTTTTTGAGACAGAGTTTCCCTCTTGTTACCCAGGCTGGGGTGCAATGGCGCGATCTCGGCTCACTGCAACCTCCGCCTCCTGGGTTCAGGCAATTCTCCTGCCTCAGCCTCCTGAGTAGCTGGGATTACAGGCACGCGCCACTGTGCCCAGCTAATTTTTTTGTATTTTTAGTAGAGACGGGGTTTCACCATGTTGACCAGGATGGTCTCGATCTCTTGACCTCGTGATTCACCCGTCTCGGCCTCCCAAAGTGCTGGGATTATAGGCGTGAGCCACCGCACCCGGCGATCTTTTGCTTTTTTAGTGATAGGAAGCCACTGAAGGGTTATAATTAGAGAATGCCACAGTCAGCATTAATTTTTAAGTTACTCACTCTGGCAACTATGTGAAAGACAGAAACAAGGTGGGGCAAGATCAGAGGTGCAGAGATCAGTCAGGAGGTATTGCAGTGGTTTAGGTGAGTTGTGAGAGGTAGAAACTAGAGCAATGGTAGTTGGGATGAGGGAGAAAATTATTTAATAAATATTTAGGAGGAGGAATGGGTAGGACTTGAAGATGCAAGGTGGACTGTGTAGGTTGATAGAGTGGTATGATGGATTCCAGCAATCTGGTTTGGAAGACTTCATGCTGTTGTTGCCATTAACTGAAATAGGGAAATCAGGAACAGAGTAAATAGATAATTGGGGGTGGGGGGGGTAAGGGAACAGATAGTTCAAGACAGGAAATAATGATAGATTTATTTTAGGACATGCTGAGTTTGAAGTACCTGTGTAGAGAAGTTCAACAGTCAGTTGGATTTAAGAATCTGAAGCCTGAAGAAGAAATATAGATCTGGATGTTATTATCACATAGATGATAATTTAAAATCATGAGGTAGGTAAGATTGCAGAGGGGGATTGGTTTAGTGAATACAGTAGTGGACTGAGGTTGGAACCCCAGGGAACAGCCAGATTTAACAGGAGCTGCAAGACTTCTTGTTGAAGAAGCAACAGCAGAGAGGTTGAAGATTTCTATAATGAGTTGGGGGTCCCCAAGATCACCTTCAGGTTCAGTGACTCACTAGGATGATTCACATAACTCAGCACATACTTGTGTTTATGGCAATGAATTACTACAGTAAAAGGAAACAAAGCAAAATCAGCAAAGAGTATATGGGCAATGACCAGAGGAAACCAGATGCAACCTTCCAAGACTCATCTTCCAGTAGAGTCACACAGGACAGGCTTAATTCCCCCAACAACAAGTTATGACAACATGCATGAAATGTTATCTACCAGGGAAGCTCATTAGAGACTCAGTGTCCAGGTTTTTACTGGAAGATGGTCATGTAGGTAACCTCTGCATAGCATGTGCCAAAATATCAGATTCCCTGAAGAAAAGCAGGTATTCAGCGTAATCCATGTTGTTAGCACAAATAGTTCAGGTCCATATTAAGAGCTCATCTTATCAGTTAAGGTAGGGAGACCCTCCCAAAATCTAAGCTCCCATATGCCAGTCAAGGACCAACCTTGTAAGCAGGCCTTCCAAAGGATAGCAGTCAGGCCTGCTGTATTGTCTTTTCTACACATGTAATAATAACAGTAATCAAGAAAATCAAACATTGCAAAAAGGAGAGTGATAAACAATGGTAAAGCAGTAGGAGGCTAGTGTGATGAGGACTGAAATGTTGATTGAATTTGGCAGCATAGAGGTCATTGGTAACCAGTGTCGACACAGTTTTAGTAGAGGTATGAGCACAGCTACCAGGCTATAACTGGTTGATAACAATAGGAAGTGAGAAAGCGAAGATGACTGTTTCAAGCATTTTGCCTCAGAAGAAAGCAGGACAAGGAGCCAAGGATTTCTTAGATGTGAAAGACTTGAGATGACTTTTGATGGATAGGAAAGAGCCAATAAAATGAGAGAAGGGGATTTAAGATGAAATAAAAATAGCACAGTGGTATAAGGTTCTAAAGATTTTGGAGGGGCTTCAATCAAGGTGAAGGAGCTACCTTTGAGGAGTAGGTCACAGGGAAGAAGGCAAGGTCATAGAGGGATGTATATGTATGTATATGAGTTTAGGGGAAGCTACTGTAAGTCATGAAAATGGACATGTATAAAAGGTTGAAGTTCACCTTTATCAGAAAAGAATGCTAGATAGGACTGTGGAATTGAACTCAGAAAAACAACATACAGCTAACCATTTCTTCTGCCCTCAATGCTAAGAGATACTTAGCTAAGGAAGTCTAGAAATAACTCTTTTCCTTCCTTGCCTCAACTCAGTAATACTGGAGAAATAAAGAAAGCTTAGAGAGATGAATTTATTGATGGAATGTGAAAGCTGAGCGATAAATTTATTGATGGAATATGTGAAGACAATATCTAGTTCGGACCAATGCTAATCAAATTTATGAATGAATGTAGAACTGATGATGTGCTACACAATTCTCTTTCTAAGTAAAAATAGCATAAATACAAAATGTCAGAAATTCTCCCTTTCCAATGTTATATTTTAAACCAGAATGGTAAAAATTACTAGAACGAACTTTTCTTTTTTGCTGTTTAATTTTGGTAGAACATTTAACATGAGATCCACCCCCTTAATAAATGTTGAAATATACAGTATACACTGTTGGTAACTATAGGCATGAGTTGTACAGCAGCTTTCTAGAACTTATTCATCTTGTGTAACTGAAATTTCACACCCATTAAATAGTAACTCCCCAGTTTCCCCTTCCTTCCAGCCCCTGGCAACCACCATTCTACTCTCTGGTTCTGTGAGTTTGACTACTTTAGATACCTCATAAAATTGGAGTCATGTAGAATTTAACCATCTGTAACTGGTTTATTTCACTTTGCAAAATGTCTTCAAGGTTCACCCATGTTGTTACATGTGGCAGGGTTTTTTTAAGGCTGAATAATATTTCATTGTATCTATATATCACATTTTGTTTATTCATCCATCTATCAATGGACACTTGGGTTGCCTTCACCATTTGGCCATTGTGAATAACGTTGCAATGAACATTACAGCACAAATATGTTGAGATCATGATTTTAGTTCTTTAATAAACACCCCGAAGTGGGATTGCAGGATCAGATAGTTTTTAAATTTTTTGAGGAGCCTTAATACTGTTTTCCATAGTGGTTACACCATTTTACAATCCCACCAACAATGTTTGAAGGTTCCAATTTCTCCATATCCTTGCCAACACTCTTCTCTGTCTCTGTCTGTCTCTCTCTCTTTCTGTCTCTTTCCCTCCCTCCCTTTCCCTCTCTCTCTCCCTCTCCCTCTCTTTCTCTTCCTCTCTTTCTTTTTGAGTAACTATCGTAACAACTGTGAGATGATGTCTCATTGTGGTTTTGATTTTGCATTTCCCTGATTAGTGATGTTGGACATCCTTTCACATACCTGTTGGCCATTTTTATGTCTTCACTGCAGAAATGTCTACTCAGATTCTTTGTCCATTTAAAAAATCTGGTTATCTGGTTTTTGCCATTGAGTTCTAAGAGTTACTCACATACTTTGGTTATTAACCCCTTATCAAATATATGGTTTGCAAATGTTTTCTCCCATCCTATAGGTTCCCTTTTCAGTCTGTTGTTTCCTTTGCTCTGAGGAAACACTTTAATTTGATACAGTGCCACTTGTCTATTTTTGTTTTTATTTCCTGTGTTTTTCATGTCATATTCAATAACTCATTGTAACGAATTCAACTTCACTACTTTAAAGAGTACCAATCTGTAAATGAGACTACATTGAGATTCCTTGCAGAAGTAATTTATTTCATAATATTGTACTTTTGAAACTATTGAATTATGTACATTCATCTGTGACATACAAATTTTGGGTATCAGAAGTGTAATTACCCAACAAAAGATACCATTTATAAGCAATTTGCTTCATTTGGCAAGTAGAGCTGTTTCCATAGCAGGAATTAAACCTTTCTGACCAAAATTAATTACCTTTTCATAGAATTAGTAGCCCCTTTTAGCACTTGACATTATAAATTATGTTAAAGTGTTAACTCATAAATTTAACAACTTGGAAAACAATGTACAAGGAATTCAGTTTATTCTACTGTATAGTTATCACTAAACTAGAACTTATTTACAGAAATTATTTGTTTCACTTGGTTTCTTTTTTAAACAGAGAATTAACAAACCATACATTTTATTGTGTACACATAGACTATATGAAAATCATTATTAAAGTTTTAAAGAAGATTTGCCATTTAAGGAAGTATTTCACTTTTTTATGAGTGTTGAATTATAGAGTTAATTAGATTTTGGGATCTCATTGGCAAAGATAAATTTTGTTATTAATGTGAGAAAACAATTGCAAAATTTTGTGAAGTCATAAATATTAGGACCTAAGAAGTCAAATTAACATTTCACGTTAAATGATTTGAATTATTCTTTATAATGAAGAACTGGCAGACACATCAATTTCCTATATAAGAAAAATTTTGATTACATACTGAAACTGATTGATAAGTTAGGCACATTAGTTCTCAAAGTATAGATTTGGCCTCTCAAGTTTACCTTCCTTAAAGGATATCCTATACATGTTGGGAATTATTTTTGTTCTAAAAGCTCAACGTGTTCAAATATAGATAATCTTCTTCCCTTTAAAAATAACTCCTTCAGTTGATATCAGTGTTTTTACAGTCTCCTAGATTTAAAACCTTAACATCATAATTTATTTATTTCATCATCTTCCTTGCCCCTCTGTGCCGCATGTTGATGAGTTGCCAAGACTTAACAGCTCTATAACTATGTAACATCTCTTACATCCATTTGTTTTTTTCCATCTTTCTTTCTTTTACCCTAGTAATAACCATATCCCTTCTTCACTAATCTGTTAGCTAGATTTAAACTAAAACTAGTCTGTCAGCTAGTTTTACCAATTTTAATCCCTTCTCTGCTCCAGGCCATCTAATAACTATTGCCAAAATAACCTTTGGAAAGCATAATTCTGATGTTTGACCTACCTCAAAGGATCATTTTGTTAATTGCCAAACATTTACAGCTCTTCGCAATCTAGCCCTAAACTCATCTTGCCTCATCTCCTACCTTACCTCTTTATGCACCTCTTATGTCAAGACGTGTCAGACTCTTTATAGAATGACCTGTCCTCTTTTCTCTGATGAATGCATTTCTAACCATTCTTTAGTAGTGAATTAAAACATGACTTCTTCTATAAAGCCTCTCTTGGTATACATTTCCACTAAAAGTAATCTTACTCTGCCTTGAACTTCATAGCTTTTAATGGCTACCTCTCTTTGAGATATAAATCTTCCTGCTATTTGGGAGGTTTATGGCATGTGTGGTTTTGTTATGTTTTGTTTTTTGAGGGGATAAGGTCTGCAGAGTAAAGTGCAGTGGAATGGTCATAACTCACAGCAGCCTTGAACTTCTGGGCTCAAGTGAGCTTCCTGTGTCAGCCTTCCAATTAGCTAGGACTACAGGCACCAGCCACTGTGCCCAGCTAATTTTATTTTTTGTAGAAACTGGATCTGACTATGATGTCCAGGCTAGTCTCAAATTCCTGGCCTCAAGTGATCCTCCCATTTCAGCCTCCTAAAGTTCTGGGATTACTGACATGAGCCACCATACCTGGAGTTTTGTGTTTTTTTTAATGTAACATTTTATGTATCTCTCTACCAGATTATTAGTTTATAGAAAAGAGCTGATTCTTATTCCTTTCCATAATATGTCTTCTAGTACTTTGCATATAGGAGACTTTCATTAAATATTTACTGATTGTTTGAATCTGAAAAATGGATAAGTGATACTGTATTTTCTTATGTATAGGATGAAGGTGACCAAGCAGCAAGTGTTGAAGAGCTGGAAAAACAGATTGAAAAACTAAGTAAAGTAAGCACTTTTCTGATTAACATTTACATCATCACAGTGTTTTTAAAATCTACATTGTATGGGGATTAGTTTTTCTGACTGCTAAGCAAAAACAAGCTTTCGGTGAATAATTAAAAATGAAGATTCTGAATAGCATTTTTGTCCAAAAAAAAATAAGATGAGAAGTGCTAGAAACATTCTTACAATTGAACTTTACAAGCTTAATGCCAGGGTTAAAAGCCTGACTCTTAAAACATCATACTGAACTTAATCAGAGCCTAGAAAGAAAATATTCTATATTCTTCAGCTCTTCATATAAATACAAAGTATCAATCAAGGCATAGTTTTATTTTTTGAAATTAATTACTAAAAAAATTCAGTTGAATTTCATAGTGATAGTTTCAGCATCTTAGGTTTTATTTTACATTTGTAGATTTGTGGACTTAATTTATATTGGATTTGTAAACTGTCCATATTTACATACTTCTCATTAAAAATTCAGTTTCAGCAGTGGTTTATGCCTATAATCCCTGCACTTTGGGAGGCTGAGGAAAGAGGATCATTTGAGCCCAGGAGTTTGAGACAAGCCTGGGCAACATGGCAAGATCCCATCTCTATTAAAAAAAAAACTAAAACTAAATTTCATAGGATTAATGAAATTTAAAATAAGCTTTGTATAAGAACAAAAATGAGTTTTTAAAAGTATTAAGAGATGCCTGTGTATGGTATTAGTATTAGATTTTATCACAGATCTGTCCTAAAACTTAATTATATGTTGTCTAAGTTTACAACATGAGTATAAAAATTGGCAAATACATGTTTAGCCAATTACATATATATTATTTGGTGTTTGTTTTGCTTTGTTTGTTGAAACAGAGTCTCACTCTGTCACTAAGGCTGGAATGCAATGGCACGATCACCGGAGCCTTGACCTTCCAGGCTCAAGCCATCCTGCCACCTCAGCCTTCCCAGAAGCTGCAACTGCAGGCATGTGCCACCATGCCCAGCTAATTTTTCATATTTTTTTGTAGAGATGGGGTCTTACTATGTTGCCGAAGCTGGTCTCTAATTCCTGGGCTCAAATGATCCACCCGCCCTGGCCTCCCAGAGTGCTGGGATTACAGGCATGAGCCACTGTGCCTGGCCTATATGTATTATTTGTTATATACTGTAATCAATAGAATTGAACCACTTTGCTTTGGCTCTGTAAAATACTTGATCCCACTGTTTATTATCAAGTATAAGACATCTTTTACCATAAGATACTTGATAAAATAAAACTTATCCTCTTACTCCATGGCAGCAAAAATAATTATCCTTACAGTGATTTCTATCTTTATAAATGTTACTGAAATTGAAATGAGGCATGAATATTTAGCCCTTTTGCTCTTTTCTCAGTAGTGAAAAGTATCTGCTTAAAGGTATAATAAGTATAAAGTTACTTATATATTAATTTTTAAAGCATTTAACATCCCAAACTTAATTATATGTACCATTTTTTAACAGCAACAGAGTCAATACAGAAGGAAGCTCTTTGATGCTTCTCATTCATTACGTTCAATGATGTTTGGCCAGGATCGTTACAGACGCCGGTACTGGATTCTTCCCCAATGTGGGGGGGTTTTTGTAGAAGGCATGGAGAGTGGTGAAGGTAAGAACTAATAATCCAATATAAATTGTTAAATAAGAAACTATATATTTTACAACTCTGTTACTCCTTCAGTATATTTTGTGTTCCCATAATCAATGTTTGATAAACATGTACAACCTTGCTTCTGATTCCTTTTGAACCCATAATGCCCCTTCACTGATACATAAAAAGGAGGAGAAGCACTAGAAACATTCCTACAATTGAACTTTACAAGCTTAATGCCAAGGTTAAAAGCTTGCCTTAAAACATGATACTGTTGATATTCCAGCCCTTGATATTTCTTTTGCTACTATTTCTGACATCAGACATAAACTGTTCTTTCTTTCTTTAGTAGACAAAGATCTGCACCTGTATTACCTTTTATAGCTGCTGCTCCATTTCTCATCCTTCCCATTGTCAAACTTCCCAATAAGTGGTTTTTTACTTTATAATAAGCATACATCCTGACACTACCCCCAATAGGTAACTTGCTTAAATCTAAGACCTTCATTATAATCCTCATTCCTTTTCAAATCTTGTTAATGTTTGAAATTTGAGATCACCTCCTTCTCGTTCAAACTTCTTCCTTTTCTGAATTTTGTGTTACCATAAATTCATGATATTCTACCTTTAGACCTTTTTCGCTGGCTCCATTTCTGTTACATTAACTAGTAGAGTACATTGTGCATTTATGTGCTCAGTAAACCTTCTTGAATGTAACTTTTCAGAACTCCACGTCTGGACATTTTCAAATGCCAAATTCTGATAGAGACAAAAGTGTTATGTCAGTGCTTATAGGTTTTAGAATGTAGCTATTGACTTATGTTGGTACATGGAAGCAAAAATGTTTTTTACTTTCTGAAATCTGTAAGCACTAGCATTAACACTTTTGTCCCCATCAGGCATGGAAGAAAAAACCCATTTTTGAATGCCTGCTGGGTGATAGACATTTCTAGGCACTGTAGGAGACACAAAGCTGTTTAAGATAGAATCCCTGTTGGCTGGGCGCAGCAGCTCACACCTGTAATCTCAGCACTTTAGGAGGCCGAGTTAGGCAGGTCACAAGGTCAGGAGATTAGAGACCATCCTGGCTAACACAGTGAAACCCCATCTCTACTAAAAATACAAAAAATTAGCCAAGGGTGGTAGCATGTGCCTTTAGTCCCAGGAGAATCACTTGAACCCAGGAGGCGGAAGTTGCAGTGAGTCGAGATTGCACCAGTGCATTCCAGCCTGGACACAGCAAGACTCCGTCTCAAAAAAAAAAAAAAAAAAAAAAGAATCCATATGTTTATAGTCCACTGGGGAGAGAAGACTGGCTAATCATATAGATGACTTTAATAGAAAATATAAATAAAGCAGTTGCTTTTAAGGTTTTTGTTTTTAGTAATGGTTTTTGTTTTTAAAACATTTTCACTTTTCTTAATGAAAATGTTATGCAGAATCAGTATCTAACCAAAACAGAATTGTTCTGATTGATCTGTTTGGAAGAACTTCTAGCCTGTACAAATAGACCTCTCTTCTGTATACTTGCTTTCCAATTCAGGAGTGGCCCTAGAGGCAGCTCTAATGATTTTAGGATTCTGCACTAAAAGTAAGTTCAGAACTTTCAAAGGTATGAGAGTGAAGTGCCTAGAGGGATCAAAACTGAGAAACATTATGTACCCTACTTAGTATTTTGTCATAATGTTTGGTAAAGATATTTCTGCCACTAGACTGTGAGCTCTTGGAGGGCAGAGACTCATTTTGGCAAGGGAGTTACACTAACATAGATAATCTGGGAGCAAAGTATGCATTGGATGGAAAGAAGAAGTAAAGAAACTTAATGTGGAACCATTACAATAATCCAGCTAAGAGGTAGGGAGGCCATAATCTCAGGAGGAAACAGAGATTAAAGGAAGACAGAAAGAAGGATCTTGAAGGTTGAATTACTATAAGAAATTATTTAGTATGATGTAGCAAAAGTGGGGATTAGAGATAAATTTAATGACTTGATTCCCAATAGGAAAATTATGGGCTGTGTATGGTGGCTCACACCTTTAATCCCAGCACTTTAGGAAGCCAAGGCAGATGGATCACTTGAGGCCAGAAGCTTGAGACCGGCCTGGGAAACATGGCAAAACCTTATATCTACCAAAAAATACAAAAATTAGCCAGGTGTGGTGGCACACACCTACAGTCTCAGCTACTCAGGAGGCTGAGGCACAAGAATTGCTTAAACCTGGGAGACAGAGGTTGCAATGAGCCAAGAGTGCACAACTGCACTCCAGCCCGAGTGACAGAATGTACTGTCTCAAAAATAAATGAAATACATAATAAAAATTATGATACTTTAAAATTAATTAGAGCAGTCAGTAGGAGGGGTTGTTTGAAATGAAATTAAGTCAAAGTTTTAGTATGGGAATGTAATTTAAAATGACAAAATTATGGGTCCTTTAGAAATACAGAACCCGGGAGACTTGAGAGCAGATTTTTTTTAAATGCCCAGGTGAGTGGCTTTTTAACCTTAGGTATAATTGGAATCACCTGAACAGCTTAAGAACCCAACCAATCTAAGCCCTACCCAGACCAGTTAAATATTCACTATGATTAAGAGCCACATTTTTCTTAGTCACTTGGGCATGTAAACTTGAAGTATCTAGGACATCAACTTTCCTTCAGAATACCTGAAATCAGTCTCTTTGCAACACTACTGAAATCAGTTCTTCATCATTATATACCTGGATTATTACACGTGTCTTCAACTTCTCTATATACAATTCCTTCTTCTATTACATTATTTCTCTACTCTGAAACCTTAAATATAACCTATAACCTGTAACATGAAGTTATAAATATGTACTTAGCTATAGGAGTTCAGTCAGGATAGTGGGAAAAATTTTTAAATGGACACAAACCTTGGAAGGCTGGAGGGTCTTGCAAAAGCCTCAGAATAGGATTTGGCTAAAGGCAGCCAGATTCTCTTATCTGGTGCCTGAAAGCTTAAGTTAAATAACTCGTGGATGTAAAGAAACTGGTCTAGATAAGTGAGTTTACTTAGGCCTTGGAACCTGGCCTTTAATCATCTGTAAGACTGCCGTCTCTGGGGAGGGTGACCGTATAATTATCCACAAGTGTGTTGACTCAAAGCCTTTGTCATTAAATCTATACTTAATAAATGCCTGCAGTGCCAGCTGGTGAGGGCTGCACCCTCCTTGGTGTCTGTGAGTGGCCGAGACCCCTAGCCCACTCTTTCACTGGATATCTGTGTCAGAGTGTATTTGTTCATCCATCGCTGAGTCAGGGTCTGCAGGTCGGACCCGACAGCCTGGCATTCAAGACTGTATACAATTCTGACTCCAAGCTGTCTTTACACTGTTCTCTAATGAGAATTCACCTAGTCCAGTCTACTCACTCAACATATATGTATTCCTCCCCTTGCATCTTTGCCAAATCTTGTTCATTATATAATAATATGCTTTTCTTCTGCCATCTAAATTTCACCCATCCTTTCTGATCCAGCTCAAATCCTAAACTTTTCCGTAAACTTCCCAGCTTATTTAACTGGAACTTTTAATATACATGAAATTGAGCTTCCAGAAAAGCAGATCATTAATTAGACAATTATTTTAGCACATTAATATATATACTATTTCCTTATTTAAATCTTATAATCTTCATCTGTACTTTTTATTTTCCATGTTGTTGGAAGGATAGTACTTTCTATATCACAGGCACACTTAAAATACTTTAAGATTTAAATAAGTAAATAAATAATTTATTTATAAGGTTTATAAGAATAGCTTATGAGACCATTTGTTTTTTGTTTCTTTGTTTGTTTTAATTTTAGGCCTCTCAAATTAAATAACATTGATCGAGTTTACATATTAGACCTCCGTTTCCATCCAGGCTCTTCTACATAACCTCTCTGGACACTGATTTTCCTTTCTGCAAAAGAATATTAATAAGCTCTATATACATTCTTTGGTTGCAATAAGGATCATATCAGATAATGGATCTAAAAGAACTACAAAATGTTATATAAATAGCAGTTGTACTTTGTACTATCATTTGTGGTCATTACAGAGCAGGAGGAAGAAGGGATAATTTTTCATTTAGTTTATTTTCTTCTGAAGTTTTTTATTATTTCATTAATAGATCTATTAGTATATGTGATATATTAGTGAATATATATGATTAATATTAACATGTATTAATCATATAGGCATATATTAATCATATATTTTCACTAATAATATATATATGATTTACATATGATATATATATGATTAATAGATCTATTAATGAAATAATAAAGGAATATACATCTCCTATATTCTATGTGCTGTAAACATATAAATAACAGGTATAGATTTCTTCTTTTTATCTTACCATTAATTAAAATAAGGGAAAAACTCAGACGATTTATTCATCAAGTGTTTATTTGCACCTGTACTGTGTCTTATACTAAGTGCTGTGGAGAGGCAAAATAAGACCAGGTGCAGCAGCTCTTGCCTGTAATCCTAGCACTTTGGGAGACTGAGGCAGGAGGATTGCTTGAGCCTGGGAGTTCATAACCAGCCTGGGCAACATAGCAAGACCTTGTCTCTACTAAAAATCATTTATTATATGGCTGAATGTGGTGTGCACCAGTGATCTCAGTTACTCAGGAGGCTGACATAGGGAAATCACTTGAGCAAAACAAGATGCAAAAGAATCAGTTGAAGGAGGACTCAAGATGGTGCTGTGAGAACAGCCCAGGATTAGAGCTCTCCTTGAATCCGTGGAGAGGTGAGTCGGAGCTGCATTTCCATACTGATGTTTGTTGCCCACAGAATGGGGAAATTCCCAAGTATAAAGGAGACACGGGACTCCAGGCAGTACCTCTGCCTGGCGAAGCCGGCAGCCCAGGTGGCGGCGGCTGGCCCTACCCAGCGCTTCCCACAGGGCGCGCTTGTCCAGGTGCCCTGTTGAACCGGCAACCTGAGACTTGAGAGGGCTGGACTTGAGACTGAACGAGACTTGGACAGTGGGCCAGCCCA